CAGTTACCGTCACCATGGTTAATAGTCAAGCAGTAACTTTAACAACCATAGATACAGATCTCAGACAAAGGGTTTACTGCTGACACAGTAAATCATTCTCAAAATATTAGTGATGGTAAACACTGTACTCACAGTCAGGAAGAGGGAGTGAAGGAAGATAAAATGGTTTTTCCTCATTAAATTTGGTGCATGAAGAAAATCGAGAAGCTCTGGCATCTTCTTGTCCATGTTGACTATACAAAACAGAAACTCCAACTGTAGTGTTTGCTGCTGCACCCAGGCAGTCAACACTTGTGGGTTACAAAAAAATGAATGTTAACACTTATTAAATTCTTAGAATCAATTGTGGGTGGACTGATGTCTGATATCACCTCACATTTCTTCTTCTGCACCTCCTTATATAGAGATGACCCTTTTGCAGGCAAGACTCCCACTGCCATGACCTGCCCTGTCAAGGATCTGGTTCATCAACCCAGCATTTTAAGTTATTCTGTAGTTGGTTCTTTATTTGGTTTATTGTTATGTTTAATAACTTTATACAGTTTAGTCATGAGTTTAGTTCTTTTTCATGTTTCTAAGGTCATTTGTATTTCTGGTTCATGTTTTCTTGTCTTTGTCTCCTATTTATGTGTCCTATGAGAGTCCATCATGTCCTCTGTGTATGTTTTCCGGTTTGTGTCTCTCGCCCTTTGTGTCGTAGTGCTCTGTCTGTGTTTCATTTCCCACTCTGTCGCTCTCCATGTCTTAATCAGGTCTTTGTGTTTTGTCTCTATCTGTTCCCATGTTCCCCTCCTTATGTTTTTTGTCTCTGCAGTCTGGCATGGACTCTCGTTCTCCTTTCCTCGTGTCAAGTTCCTACATCTTAGTCATGGTCTCAGTGTTACTTCCTGTTTTTGTTTTTTTTACAGTCTCGTCCTGCGTTCAGTGTGTTCAGTTTTGCTTCCCCTGTCTCATCATGTCTAATTCATTCCTGCTGTGTTCCTCATATGTTTCCACTGACCATGTCTTTCCTCATGTGTATATATTGTGTCAGTTTCCCCTTTTCCCTTGTTTATATGTCTCCATGCCTCAAGTGTTTGGGGATTTCCAGGTGTTCCAAGTTTAATGAATTTACTTTTCCCAGTTTAGGTTTTTGTGATTACTTTTTGTTTAGTTGGTT